TCATTATAAAGAAGGACTTTTGGCAGTGCTTCTAACTTTGAACAGTCACTAAGTGAGTGGTCCCAAGTTAAGGACTATTTGACCAATCAACTTCCTGGCCAATTTGTATGGAATATGCCAGTCATATTTTAAATGGGTTAACAGTGTAAAATTCCATTTGTAATCTAAAATGGTAAGACTTAGCCAAAAAAATCCATTTGTTGGACCTTGGTTTAATTTTTCAGACAGTATTTAAAAAGGAACATTAAGTTGTGTAGGTCATATGCAAATATTATTTAGTAATACTTGAGAATAAACCAGCCTTGAATCTATCTCACTTATCTTTCTCCGAAGAGATAACCACATATTTTAAACTAGTTCATTCCACAGCTCGAACTAACTGCATAATTCAGTTTCAGACTACTATTTCGTAAACAATTGTTTTAGAACATCTCTATCTCATTAGCTCTCCATGCAGCGTGCAATTCAAAGTGGCCATTATTTTGGATTTCTAAGGCTGTCTTGCAAATTAACTTTTCAAAAAATACTAGTATATTAGTGCACATATATACTGCTAATGTCTAAGAAATAAGCAAAAAATAGCAATTTAAAAAGGTTTCCTGATGAATCGTTTTCAAATAATTTATACCTATTATAATTTACCACTTAGTATTTTAAAAGTATTTTTAAAATCTATCACTTCCAAACAAATCTTATTGCTGTTACTACCTTCAGTGGATAGATAATCTATTTTAAGACTAGAAAATTTGAACTCAAAAACACAGATGACAATTTGTTGACTGCAAAAAAACATAAAAAATGCCTGTTCTTTGATGCCTTCCAGTTGTTATCCAGAGTTTTACAGCACAGTTGTAGCTGTAACCTATTCAGAAGTCTCCTCATTACACTTAAAATTGCTTATAGCATAGTAGAATATTTCATATCATTCCAGTTCTTGAAATATTTTGCCCTCTAACTCTTTTCCTCTACTCATTATCAATATATGAATAGGGTGAATTGAGCTCTTTCCCCCCAAAATTGAATTATTACCTTTCTTAACAGTTGCAATAAATTGCTGATAAACTCACATCCACCCAATAGCTCTAGAGTTTGCCCAGAAGTACATTCAAGATGAAATCTCAAAATATACCAGTCAGGGAACACATTTATTGATGAAGCAAGTTACGATGGATAACTAATAGGCACATTTCCAGCAATATTTATGAAGGAGAGAGGAGGACATAAAAGAAAACCAGTTTTATCTAGTGGTTAAGACATCACACTAGAAACCAGACAACTGTGAGTTCTAGTCCTGCCTTAATCACGAAAGATAGCTGGGAGACTCTGGGCCAATCACTCTCAATCTGTGACATCAGGATTGGGCAACAACCTAGTCATTGAAATCTTGTTATAACTAATGGATCAACACTCTAGGGGTAATCTTTGATTTACAACCATAACTGAGCCCAAAATTTCTGTTTTTAAGTGAGACAATTGTTGAGTGAGTTTTGCTCCATTTTATGGCCTTTCTTGCACACTTGTTAAGTGAATCACTGCAGTTGTAACATGGTTATTTAGCGAATCTGGCATCCAGATTGACTTTGGTTGTCAGAAGGGTGCATGATCACATGACCCCAGGACACTGCAACTGCCATAAATATGATCTAGCTGCCAAGCATCCAAACTTTGATTACATGACCATGGGGATGCTGCAATGGTCACAAGGCTGAAAAACAGTCATAAATCATTTTTTACAGTGCCCTTGTAACTTTGGTTACTAAACAAAAGATTGGAGATAGAGGATCACTAGTATTTTTTTTTAAATAAAGAAAAAAGCACTTGCAGGAAAATAACCCTGTTGGAACAAGTCAAAGCCAGATTTCTCAGAATCCCCAATCATATGGCAGTGAATTATTGCAAACAGACAACCAAGACATTTTCTTTTCCCTGTGTTGTTCCACTTTTGTTAGTATTGGGAAGCATGTGTATTCAACCAGAATTAAAAGTGAGCCATTAACTTGTATCATTTGATAAGATTCATTCTTCATGAATTCAGCCCTTTTTTAAAAGCTATACAAAAAAGTGGCCATCACCAGTCTGCTGGTAATGAATTCTAGAGATTAATTGCATGTTCTGTAAAGGGTTTCTTGCCTGTTCTAAAACATCTAAATCAGCATCATCAGATGATCTCTTGTCATAATATTTTAAAAAGGGAAAATTTTTCCTGTCCATTTTTTCAATATCTTACATCTCAATCATAACCCTACCCTTGGGCCAAGTTGAGATCAAAAACATTCTAGTGCTTCCTCACAGGAAGAATCATGTCCTGACTAGTCATATTTTTATATGCCCTTTTGTACTTTTTTGAATTTATATTTGTACCTTAAATGTGGCGAACAGAACCGGTACATACCATACTAGATGCAGATATGCATTAGATACATATAATGACATTACAAGATTAGCAGTTTTATTTTCAGTTTTTTTTCCTAATGAATTCTACTATAGTAGGGCTGTCAAACTCCCAGCCCATGGGCTGGATGCGTCACACACTGGCCACGCCCACACCCAATTTAGTAAAGGGGGGGGGGAAGTCCCAATACATCACCATGATGTGAGATTACACCACCATGATGTGAGATTGACACCCCCTGTACTATAGCATTTGCTTTTTTCATCACTGCTGCACAATGATGTCTTCATTGAGCTATTTACTATGGACCCCAAGATCTTTTCCCTTGATAACCAAGACTCAGGTCTAGCTGTGTAAATGCAAAATCAGGAGTAGCCTTTGTTCTAATATGCATCACTTTACACTTCTTAAATTGCAGTTACCACTTGGCTGACAATTTACCATGCTTAAAGAAATTGTACTGGAATTTTTCAAATCACTTTTGGATTTTACCATCCCTGTATAGCTTCCTATTGTCCACCAACTTGGTCAGTGCTTAGCTTTAGATCAAGTCACTTTACTTTTAAACATTTAATCATTTTAAATGCTAATCAATCTAGAAAGATTATGTACTTATTTGTTAGACTGACATCCCATTTATTCTTCAGGAATAAAAAGCAGTATATGTAGCATTCTCTCCAAGTTTTTTGTACAACAGGTATAATTTGCATGACACACTAACTCAAAGTTATGTAAGCATGGCTTATATACATTCCCTTTTAGTTTGTAAGATATACTGTGCCATAAACTATCCATAGAGGCTTGGTTCATATAACATGCTCAATTGATAGGTTTGTGACTCAATGTGCCACATGATACAGACACTATCTGGTCACATGAGTTTTTACTGCTAAGAATGGATTTGAACCTATATCCTAATCCAATATCTTAATGATTATGTAATCAGATTTCCTTTAATTCAAATCTATACTTTTGATTTATTAGACTTTGATTTTACAATGCTGGAACATTTTGCTTGATAAATTACAAATATGCTAATAAAGCATGGGGGGGGCAGAAACATCAAACATGGACAGCATCTATGTTTAAAGTTTATCTGCCATTACTACTAGCAAGTTCAAAACAAGGTCCCCATGATTTCAAAGTCTGTAGAGCATGAGACTGTAGCAGGCAAAACTTTGCAGATTTTTGACAACTTTGTAGTGTTGTCAAATTAACTACACCTGCTAGAAGTTCTCTTCCAAAGGCACATCACAGAAGCCAAATCTCTTAATGTAGCAACCCACTTACCTGTTATCTAATATAACTTCTGAACAACTGTGTATATCAACAAATAGCTACTGACCCTTTCAACTGTTTAATTTCCTGCAAAATCATTAATACTGCACCCACTGAGCATTCCAAAAAGTTTTACATTTTATCACCTCTGACTAAAACGCCAAGGTACTGAATGTGGACAGGTGTTTAGATTTTTAACCTGTTTTATCTTAAAGGTTTCAAGTGCAAATTTAAAGGAATTATATATACATCTTGTGAACAGAAAAACTGTATAGTAGAAATATTTAACGAATCTTGTACAGATCACATCTGATTTCTATTCCTTTTAACATCTTTAACTCTGAGATAAAGTTGCTCTAAGCATACAAAATGTGAAATACTTATTAAACGTATTGTTTTACTGATGAGAAATCAGCAAGTTTCTTACCTACTGCCTGCCCAGGTTTCATTCACCAAACTTCATCAAAATATAAAGCTACCTTCTTTAGTCACAATTGTCATACTAGACTGATGGGCTTTAGCATTATTTCACCTTTCACCAATTATTCAACCCAATTCTTTGCCTTCCAGGAAAGGGGATCAGGATGAAGACTCTTACCTGTTGGCCTCAGTAAATAACTTCTGCCACTTCGTTCTTTATCAAGATAAATATGAGTAAACCAATGACCCGGGCAATATATTGGGCAGGGATAATTACAAAAACAGAATAAGATAACACCTCTCCCCACTCCATTAGCATTCTTGGTCCCTTCTACTTGTTTTACCGTTTGAAAAGCAGCAACAGCACTTACAGCTCACTATTTGGCAGCATCTCTCCGTCTTGCAATCCTTTCCCCCTTACGCAGCTGCACCAGGATCATTATTCCGCAAGGCCCCTGCAGCAACATTATACGCAGGCGCAACACAACAGGAGTAGGAGGAGAAGGAAAGAAAAGCCAGGAAGCTGCAGGATGTGACTGTTCCTCTTTCATTCCCTTCGGCGCAGGCGCAAAGGGGAGGCATGCTACAAACTTTTTGCACCGCATGCGTGCCCTAGAATTAACCTCCCTCCCACAACGATTTCAGGCAAGGCGCCTGCGCAATCCCCGCCAGCCTTTGAATGAAGGCGCATGGGCTACACTCCGAAGGACGAAACTACATCATAGCGCATGCGCGACCCTCAACCGAGGTTGTTGTTTTTTTGTTTTTTTTTAGCCTTCCGCCCCGCCCCTTCTTCTTGCGTCAGGGCCTTTGGCTCATTATTTTGCAATCAGTTGCCTATCAGCGTTATATATTACTCCCTTTGTCCCTATGATGTGGTGAGTTATACCTGTCACCCGTTCCACCTCACCTGCAAACGATACGCAATAGCTGCGGCGGTCCCCTTGTGGTCTCTTCATAACGCCCTGACCTGACATATCCGGGACTCTTAGTGACGTTGCCACGACGCCTCGTTCATTCAACGGCAGACGGGGAGGAGACTGGGAGGTGGTGCCATTGCGCAGGCGCAAGGGGATCGGTCACACTAAAAATGGCGGGAGAGAAGTAACGTCGAGGCTTCGCTTTAGGATGAGCAGCATAATATTAGGACTAGTACAGGAGATACCAGGGAGGAAGGAAAATAATCAGAGATGGGATCATATTTCGGCATTATTAACGAAAGTAGTATTCAATAGACACATTAAAAGCACACCCGGTTTTAATACAACGATTGCTATGACGCTAAGTTACAAATAACGTGCTCTCCAAATACAAATTCATAAACACACTTTTAACTGTCTTCTAATAACATTTCAGATACTGAGCGTCAAAGATCATGCTGACACAGAAAAGGGAAAGCAAGCAAGTATGGAGTTACCTGAGACAACATGCTTTTTTGAGATCCTGTCTTCCCTAAGAAACAGTCTACCTGAAAGAGGGCAGCCCCTGGCCTATGCAAGGCCTTGGCAAGGCTGTGAAGACCTGGCTCTTCTCCCAGGTATTTGTGTCTGGATATTAGCATCTGTAATTAAGAGTTTTGGAGTTTTATTGAACCTTGGTGTATTGTCCTATATTTTAGTAAAATGCTTCATTATTAGCATTTTAAAAGATGATAGTCATTTTAACATGACTGACTAGTCCCTTTTTTAAACTTTAGAAAAACATGCATTTTTCTTGTATGGTCCTTGCAATGAGAAGCCAATTCTAACAATCTCACAACCTTTTCCTTATAATCTAAGAAGCAAAATTAACCCTTTTAAGAGTACTTAAATAAACATCATGATTCAGCCTTCTAATGAAAGTTATAATGCATTTCATACCAGGAATAGAATGAATTTTCAAGGTGCAGAGCTTAATATTAAGAGTGAAAAAGACTTTAAACCTATAGCATTTTTCTTTTGGTAAATAAATTTGTCACAGACATTTGCATTTTTTTCTTAAATATTGCTCAAGTTGGAGTAATAAGCCAAATGGAAACAATTGGATGGATATTGCAAGACTAATTTGATATTATCAATGCTAATAGAAGATTGGTATCCAAATGCCACTACTGTGTTACCATGCTATTACAATCACAATAATATCATTCGAGACAACGTATAAAGACAGGAGGTTATACAACTTGCCTCGTGGTGTAACTGGAACAATCTGGAATTGAACACACACAAAACCGTATAAATGTAATAGACTTTAGAAGAAACCCTCCCATACTACCACCTCTTACAATACTAGACAACATAGTATCAACAGTAGAGACCTTCAAATTTCTAGGTTCTACTATATCACATGACTAAAATGGACACCTAACATCAAAAAAGGTCATCAAAAAAGCACAACAAAGAGTGTTCTTTCTGCACCAACTCAGAAAGCTCAAATTGCCCAAGGAGCTGCTGATCCAGTTCTACAGAGGAATTACTGAGTCTATCATCTGCACCTCTATAACTGTCTAGTTTAGTTCTGCAACCCAACAGGACATACACAGACTTCAGAGGATAATTAGAACTGCAGAAAAAACAATTACTACCCATCTGCCTTTAATCGAGGACCTGTATATTGCACAAGTCAAAAAGAGGGCTGTGAAAATATTTACAGACCCCTCACATCCTGGACATAAACTGTTTCAACTCCTACCCTCAAAACAACGCTATAGAGCACTGCACACCAGAACAACTACACACAAGAACAGTTTTCCCCCGAAAGCCATCACTCTGCTAAACAAATAGTTCCCTCAACACTGTTCAACTATTACAAAGTCTACACTACTATTACAGTTAATCTTCTCATCCTTATCACCCATCCCTTCCCACTTGTGACTGTATGACTAACTTTGTCGCTTGTATCCTTACGATTTACATTGACTGTTTCCTAGTATGATTTGATTGCTTATTGTACCCTATGACTATCATTAAGTGTTGTACTTTATGATTCTTGACGCTTGACAAATGTATCTTTGCTTTTATGTATACTGAGAGTATTTGCACCAAGGCAGATTCCTTGTGTGTCCAATCACACTTGGCCAATAAAGAATTCTATCTATGTATTTGTTTTTAAGAATAAATTTGTCTTTGTTTACATGTCTCTCTCTTTACCTGTTGAATGGTTTGCTTTAATTCCACATAAACATTCCTACCTGTACAATAGAGCCATATTCTTTCCCCAGCTGAAAAGTAAGGAGGAAGAATTGTGTCCCTGTAGAGCAGGGAGGAGGGTTTGTTGTTATATTATCAATGTTAAGGCATCACTGCTGTAACTGGATCCTGTTTCTCATAATGCAATAATTGCCTAAAAGCTTTGGCTATTGTTATCCTTTCTGTTCAAATATGGAAAGACTTGGTTATGGGTTTTTCATAAACTAGGTTTTGGGTGTGTGTGGTTATTTTTGTTGTTTCTCATAAGCAAATTTTGTTTCTTAGCAGAACCCTTGTTACCTTCTTTAGGAGCCTGAATAGTTGAATTTACTATCTTAAATCATGTTTGTTGTATTGCCACAGACAAAACTTGGAGCTTTCTGAGTTGGCGCAGAAATAAAATTCTTTGTTGTGCTTCTTTGATGAAATTTTTGATGTTAGGTGTCCGTTTTAAGTCTTGAGATATGATAGAACCTAGAAACTTGAAGGTCTCTACATAGATAAATCTTATAGATAAATTCTATAAGGAATTTGTCTTTGGTGCATAAGCTTCCAGTGTACATAAAAGTTATAAGTGCATCTTGGTATGGTTCTGCATTGTTCCCAATGGGCACCAAATTTACCTACATACTTTTCTTCATCTTCAGACTCACCAATTAAGTCTGAAAGAACATTGTAGTACTGAAATGGCTTATTCCTTGAACCTTTGTGAAAATTTCTAGGAGCTTCTTATAATCTAGACCCAAGGACTCACAAAGGTGGTGGTGCGTGGCTTCTCTGCTAGTTCAGGACATCCATGGCTGAGGGAGAAATGAATTAACTGCCAAAGAGTTTCTATCCTCACAGAAGCAGCTCTGAAAGCTGTGGACAGCAATGGGAGCTACAATTGGCTTGATCAGTTCCAGCAGGGAGAATTTATGCTGCTTAAAATTTCCATCACAGGACTCTTAATCCAATCTCGGAGAGCCCACTCCAGATTTTTGCTACCCAACCCACCATCCTTGTGGAAGAAAAAAGTCCTTGTATTCTTCACAGATGGAGAGTGTCAGATTCTTGGAACTTGCCACAAATAATCTTTGTGGCTGTACTGTTTTTTAAAACATGATTTTTTGGGACCTTTGCTTCTGTTGTTACTTTTACAATATTTTTTATGCTGTAAATAGGGGAGGGACAGGAGGGAAGAGCAAAATTCCTATTCATCCCAAGCAGCATGTGGTTGATCATTCCAGCCTGTAAAATAGAATTGCATTATTATTGTATTATTATTGCAGCATTGTATTATTGGAGGTGAAATATTGTCCTCATTTTCTTGCGCTGTAAGTATTGATTGGTGGGTAAATCACATTATTGCATTTGATTTCACTATAATGCAGGAATACTCCCAATACCTCAAAGGATATCAGTTGCCCAAATACAACTGATGTTTCTGCCATATTTTTATTAATCCAACTAATTATGAAACAACTTGGATGCAGTACTAAAATGTAAAGTTGGACAGCACAAATAACAAAACATAATGGCACTTATTCTTAGCCAAGGCCACTTTGCTGGTTTGCAGAAATTGTGTTTTTAGAACAAAACAATAGAGAACAACTTCTGAAAGTCCTTGAATATACTTGCAATTTTTAAGAGATAAAACTCAACTGGAAAAGTGTAATGTAAGTCATAATTTGAATCTTGTATATGTTATCTAGAATTATGTTTTCTATTGTTCAAGTCTCATGTAATGAGCATCTTTTACTGTTTGATTACTTGCTTTCTGACATATCGCATATACCAAATGTATATATCATTTATTTCTGTACCTTATAAAAAGCCTTGGCACCCCCCTTAATAAAATGTCTTTTGCCTCTATTACTTGGTAATTCATATTTTTGGGTGTAAAATATCCCTTTGCTTAGGTAGGTCTCTCAAATTTAGGGAACAAGTTCTTATCAGCTTTATGCCAAACTCGGAGTACCTGAGTTTGGAGGCACCAGGTGCAGTTTTCACTAGTTTTTGTTTTAATGAAATTCTGTGTTTTTATTTTGTCTAATGCCCCGTTTCTGGATCAATGGATGGCCAAATAAATTGAATATGCAGGAATAGTATAGGTTTGTTTTCTGAGGTTCTCACGGGTATTTGTATGTGGATCTTTGGTTATTCGGGTTTTCTCCCGCGTAAGATTGGAAGTATCTAGGCAACGTTTCGATAAAGTCTCATTCATCATCTTCAGGCTTCTGTCTTCAGCTCTGTGCTTC